TATCTATGGAAAGACAATCTAACATTACCATCACTATATTGAGTTATTTGTTTGAGATGAATATTTGATTGTGGTGGTTATAAAGATTCAGGTTGAGTGTCACCTTTAAGGATTTAGTCTTCTAGTATGGTAATATATTTTCATTTGATAGATATGGGTGCAACTATATTTTATTTAAAAAGATTTGTTTAGAGAAGTAAGGTTTCACTTTTCTGAGATTAGAATTTATGTTTCTTGACAAAGGCAAAAATATAGCTTTACAATGGATCTTAAAGATTAAAGCTACATGAGTGGATCCTTTTGACATATTGTAATTATAGGTTTTTATTTGTGAGATTATACTTTATAGGACCTTTTTGTCTTTAAGAGAAATGGTTAGGTTTAGATAACAATCAAAAGAAACAAGACCACTATATAAACCACACTCAATGAAACTAAGTAATGGATCCTAGAAAGTATTTAGATCTTCTTTGGTAAAAGATTTGATTCCTACTTATATAAGGTCAATATAGATATATTTATAGTTTTTGTAGGGATTTTTTAGACAGGAGTTGGATAGTTTCAAAAGGCTTTTTAAGTTGAATATTCATTTTTTTGGTTTTTATTGTAAAGCTAGTTTTTAAAAGATTGAAAGAAGTTTAATAAATTTGGTTCTTTTGAGCTTTTGTAATTTTTTGATAATCAATATTTTTTGTAAAATCTTCAATTGTAATCTCTTCACTATTTATAATTCTTTTGTTTTCAGAAGAATCAAAAGCAAAAGTTGAAATAGAAGTTATTTTGCAAAAAATAAAATCTATATTTAAAATGATAGTTTAAAAAATAAACTGCAAGTTATATGGATTTACTATCCTATATTACTCTTAAACAAGATTTTCATAATTTAGTAATATTTATTTATAATTCTAAGATTCTCTTTTCTTATTATATTTATTAGATTTTGTATGAATAATACTACTTAGATCCTAACAGGCTTTAATACTAAGTATGCATCGTTGTTACAATTAAGATTGATCTTAAGATCTAGTCATACGTTTCTAACTGATATACTTGATTTTAAAACATAATATAAACATACAAATTACATAGTATATTTATAGTGTTGGACATAAAGGAATAGTAGTAAATGATTTATAGATGAACTAAAATTATATATGTATAAAAAGAAATAGTACTATGTTCACTTTTAACCTAACCTAGCCCCTCTTTCTTCTTTTTTCTATCACCAATATCCAATTTTATGATTCTTAATTATCCATTCACCAGGATACTAATCTTCGTTATCCAAGAGTTTAGTCTCTTTAATTGCCTATTAATCGGGGTATCAATCTCATTCATCAGGAAAGTAAATTACCTTAAGCTTTCACTAACCAAGGTGCAAATCTTATTAATTAGCGAGTTAGTTTCTCAAATTTTTCATTAAACAAAATAATAATCTCATTAATTAGGGAGTTAGTTTCTTAAATTTCTCATTAAACAAGACACTAATCTCATTAACCAGGAGGTTAATTTCTTAAATTATCCATTAAATAAGACATTATTCTCTTTAATTAGAGAGTTAGTTTCTCAAATTTCTTTCTCTTGCCATTTACAATTCTAGCCAAAGATTCAATAGAGATAATAAAACCATTATTTAGAAAGTAACTAATTTCCTACAAGATGTCGAACACCTACTTGATGTCTATGTATGTGAGTTGATCTCTTATTGCTGATTGGATCCCATGACCTTTTTTATATTAATAAAACTAGCACATCATTGGGCATTCATCCATTATATCAATTAATTTTATTTTTCATATAAATATTGAATTCTCATTTAATTTGTATAAAGTATTCCCATTCTAGTTGTGTATGATGTCTATTTCCTTTTTTTAATCATTTTTATTTTTTTTTATTGGTATAACTTTATAAACTTCCATGCTATTTAACCCAACCAAATTGACTCTTCTTCTTCTTCTTCTTTTTCATGAAGTTAACTGATTTCCTTTCTTGTAACCAATATAGTTTTTCCTTTCATTTCTTTGCTACTAATCTATTTTATTTTATTTTTGAGTTTTTCCTCTCTTTTCCTATCAATCAATATTCACCTAACCAAAAACTCCAACAATTTTAATTAATTGCATTAGATTTCCAATCACCCAAATTTTCTTCCGAGCCGAAACTAATCCAATAAAAGGGGCATTATTCTTTCAAATTTTTCTTACATTAAATTGTTACCCATTCTTAATTCATGCTAATAATCATTAACCAATCTCAATAAAATTAACCCATTACATAATCAATGTAATTTCATCCTTATAAAATGATGATATTTATAATTCATTAACAAAAACTTAAATTTAATGCAATTAATCTATTTGAAGGTATTTTTTATATTAAATGGATGATTTTTCAAGTGTTGAAAGCTTAGGAAATCAAGCCCCTTCAATTCCCCCCTATTTTTTATTTTCAGAATCCTAACCCTTAATATACTCTCCAAAAGCTCACCCAAAACTCTTAATCTCCCCTTTTAATTTCCTTGTTAAGCTTTAAACATCATAATCTCTTTTTTTTTTTTTATTGAATTTTGCAAGAATTTAGAAGAAAAAACAACAATTTATCCTCTCTTTCTCATGTAAATCTGTGGCTAGATGGAGAAGAAATGGATATTTAAACCCTAATTTTCTATTAATCACACATTGGTCCCTGTTTGTATTTAATTATATTTTATTCCACCTCATTTCCCTCTAATAACTTTATGCTTTGTAACTTTTTTAATCCAATTTTGCTCTTCATTTATCTAATTTTATTTCATCTAACTTGATCTAATTTATTTCTTGGAATAAAAATAAATTTCTTTTCTTTTTTTGAAAAAGATTTAACAATAAAATTCAATGCATAATTTTGTAAAAAACATAAAAGCATAAATATCATTGATTAATTGTTCAATTTTTTCTAGTACGGGGATAAATAAAATAAGTATTTGTATTGTTCATAAAAAAATATAGAAAGATTAAAATAACCCCTAACAAATCTTTATTGACTAATTGACCTTTAAAAAAGATGAAACCACCTTTAAAATTAAGGCAAACAAAATTTTCCTTAAAAGATGAAAGTGTAATTTTATTATTATAATAAATAGTCTTTTGTATCTATGTGTAAAGTAAAATTTAAAGTATTTTGGCAATGTGTTTTATATGTTATGTTAACTGTAAATAGATTTTAACCATTAATTTAAAATCAACTACCTATTGAATAATATTTTATTTAATATTTAGGTAGAAACGTATTAAATCTAAGTCAATCTAGATTGACTTACAAAACTTATAGAGATTATCTTAAAAAAAAAAGCTAAATATAAACCTAACTCAATGTTAAAAGATGAGATTGGTAAAAAATGAAAACCAGTTAAAAATAAATATGTGAACTCAGTTAACCAATTTATCTTGCGATGCAAGTTATGTTCATCATCAGATTTAATAATTTTTTTATCCCATAAATTATTTTTCACTTAATAGATTTATATGTCAATAAAACACATGAGAATTGTTTTGTATAAACTATTTTTTATAAAGAAAAAAACATGATAGTTTTGTATGACTAAGATAATAGAAGTAGATTATTGATAACAAATGGTCAAATTGTGTTTTTTGGTTTTAAGTTAAATAAATAAAAAAAATACAACATCGATAACAAATGGTGAAATTATTATTATTTTTTTAATTTGAGATACAAAAAAATATTAAAAAAAATTAATAAACTAAATGTTATGGCTTAACTTGTTAAACTTATAATCCAGGTCATGAACTCTATAGAGCTCAATATTCTTTTCTATAAATCTATAGTTAATTTAAATATACTAAAAAAATAAATAAAAAGGGCCTAAGAACAACCTAATAAAGTATAGCCATAGGCTAACACCTTCGGCCTGTGAAAAGAACAGCCTAGGCGTGTGAGTTTTTATACACAGGCTTGCATGCTTGTGCTTACAAATTTTTTTTCTTATTTAAAGGGGTGGATAACTTATCATCCATCCCTTTTTTTGAAAAAAAAAAAACAATACGTCTTCTGCTGTGCAGATGATGTGTTGTTTGCTAACTCAGACTTTGTACATTACCGTCGTGGCTGAAAAAATAAACCTATTGGTTTTTTATGAAAAAAATCTTTTTTCATTCTGTTTTAACAAAAACACCGTACAAATACTCTTAAAACATCAACATACCAATATATCAACTTAATAAATTAAAAAAAAAGATCCAAATCACAAAATCAACTTGAATAAAAATTCTTATTTTCAATTTAGATGTGGTTTTTAAGCTATATTAAGATTCAAAGCAACTACTATAAGTTTTTTTAGTCGAATAGATCTCGTTGACAGTAATTTCAATCATTTTAGTGGTTGAAATAAGTGTCAATAGCTTTTTTTCTATACACTGAATTCTAAAGTTTCTCTCTATTCTCTTATGAAAAAAAATAAAAAAAATAAATTTGATATTAAAATTAAATTTTTTATAACTAGAGGGACTGACTACTTATTAACGAAAAAAAATAAGATCATATTAATTTTTTAGATGATATTCAAAATTACCATCTATTTTCTTTGTATATTTTTTCACTTTATTCTCTATATTTTAATTTTATTATCTCTTAAAAAATAAAATTGACTATTAATTTGAGCTAAGAAAAACTACATTGTAAAAAAAAATATTGAAGAATCAAATTAAAAAATTAAAAAATAACTATGAAAATTGCAACTTTAATAATAAAATCATTACATATCTTAATTTTTTTAATTTAATATTTAATTGAAAATAAGAAATGCTATAGGGTATTTAAGATACCAATAATAATTTTTTTAAAAGTATTTTATACTAAAATATATATGGAAATAAAAAAATATTTTTAATGCATCAAAATAATTTAAAAATATTAAAAAAATTAATTTTAAAATATAAAATATAAATCTCAAAATTTTTGAAGTACCAAATAAACACTAAGTATATTTTCCCTGGTAAAAAACCCCAACCTATCATTTCCTTGCTAAATCTTGTGTCTTCAGTCCTCTCTCTTTTTATGTTTTAAAAAAACACAAAATCCCCAATTGTCTCTTTCAAATCCCTAACTTCTTCTGGTGGAGCAAAGCAAACCTTAAAAATCAAACCCCAAAATTCATTTCTTTTAAAGCTCAAAAAAAGAAATCTTGATCTCAAAGCTATGATTTTTAAGTGTAAATCCAAGCTTCAAATTTTGCAGCTTTTGAATTACTAGCTTTGGACTTTTTTTTTTTACCTCAGCTTCGGCTTCAAAGTCAGCCTTTTTCCTTATTTTTTCTTCTTAAATTGTCTTTCTGATATCGTTGGAAAATGTCTTCCCCCTTTTCGGAATAAAAATCTTTCAATATCGAAGCGGTTTTGAGTTTATTAATATTTCATGTGAACATTTCTGCAACTACAACTGTCACCTAACACATAAAAATTCAACCATTTTTCTGTCAATAAATCTCCAAAGCCTTCAAATTTGTGTTTTTAGTAAATTTGTCGAATACCAATTTGTGAAAATCGCATGAATACTTGAGTTTCGAAACCAAATGTCAGTAGAAAGATCATTTGAAGCATGGGAAGAGGTCCAAAGGCATGGCCAGGACCTGGCAGACCGGCTAGCTCAAGGGTTTTCAGGCCTTATACAGTCACATATGACATACCCACCTACGTTTTCTTGGCCGAACTCTCCAAAATCGAAGCCTTTTGACCTGGAGTTTCCGGGACATGGTTTTAGTAAAAATGATTTTGGGGTTTTAACTGATAATTCAGGGATAGACGGGGTTTCGGCTATTTTGGATATTGGAAATAGGATTGGACAAGCTGGGGCTGATTTTGGTGCGGCTTTGAATGGATTGGTGCATCAGTTTTTTAGGAGATTACCAGTGCCGTTTAAGCAGGAGGAGCAGGAGGAGAGCGTGGGGCCTGGGTTGAGGATGGATGGTAAGAGGAGTGAGATGGGGCTATGTTTGGAGGGAGAGTTGGGTTTGGTTAGAGAGAGGTTGAGGGATTTTGGGTTTGTGGAGGATAATAGTGGCGGTGGCAGCCGTGGAGTGGATGAGTTGTTGGAAGAGGAAATTGGTGGGTTTAATTTGAAGGGTGTGGGATTTCTTGGCAAACCACAGGTAATGATTTTTATATTCTATTGTGTTCTAAGAATTTAGTTGTGCATGTTTTGTTAGCGTAGAAGTGCTCATTTCATACAATAATGTAATTTGTATATAGTTTCTAATGCTATTGATGGAATAGACCACCTAACAGATTTTTAGCCTAAATTGTCTATTGAACTGTTTGTATGGAAGTGATATTATCTTTTGGAACTCGACTAGGAATAAATCTTCGTTGTTATTTATGGAGGAGATGCTTTGGTTGATTTTCAACTTTTTGTAGTCTTGATGGAAAATTCACAGATATAGGATGTTATCCAGTCTAGATAGTAGTGGCTATCTGGAAACGATGATGCGTTTGAAGCAACAGGACTTTCTGTTTGAGAAAGCTTGTGTTGTTTTAGAAGTCTTAGCTGATGCAAAGTACAATCTCCAGTCTAGTTAGTAGTGGAGCATTTGAAGCAATATGCCATTTTGTTTGGCAAGGGCTGTGTCTAAAAGAAAGGGGATTAGATGACACCTTCCTTCTCTCTTCTTCGGCAAGAGTGCTTCAATTTAGAAGTAATATGACGCAGCTGGTAGTGAAGGATAACAGAGTTTGTTATAAGTCGAAATCCTCAAAGACTAAGAACAACTATGGAGAGACCCCCAAAATATTCAATTTTTATTTATCCATGTTGAACTTGCTAAAAGGCTATTACAACCTTTTATATAGACCAAAAAAAAAAAAAAAACTAGAAAACTCTAATAATACTGAATAGAAAAAATAAAATAGGAAAACTATTCACTTCAAATAGGAAAAAAACTAGAAAAACATAATAATGCGAAATAGTAAAATAAAAAAACATAAAATTAAGTTAGGAAAATATTTATTTTATTAGTCTCCTCAAGTTGGAAGGAACTTGCCCTAAAGTTTAGACCTTAGTTAGAAAATGTCGTCCACCACGAACATTCTTTTGTGTGGGCCACCACATCATGGATCCCCAACATCTTTGTGTTGGTTTTCCCATCATGGATCCCTAATATAACATCTTTGATGAGCTGCCCTATCGTGAGTCTTACCATTAAGATTTTCAATAACAATAACTGAAACAACACACTAGTTCTTGGACTTTTTCTTTCTTTCTTTCTTTCTTAAGGGAACCTTTTCATTCCTTTCTAAATAAGCACATCGTGTTCCGTGACTTATTCTAGTCATTGTTATTCAACAACATATAACAACTAACCACTAAAAATTTATGAGCAATACATGTTTTCTATGACCTCCAACCAAAATCACTAAGAATTATTGGGTTATGATATAAACTGATAGTTAGGTTTGTTACAAGTCAAAACTCTCAATGTCTAAGAACACCATAACTATGAAGAGACACCTGAAATATTCAATTTGTATTCATCCATGTCTCACTTGCCAAAGGCTATTATACACCCTTTATATAGAAAACAAAATTTAGAAAATCCTAGTAATACCGAATAAGAAAAATAAAGCAGAAAACTATTCTCTTCAAATAGAGAAAAAAACTAGAAAAACATAATAATACAAATTAAGAAAATAAAAATAGGAAAACATAAAATTAAATTGGGAAAATATCTATTTTCCCAAAAAAATAAAAATAAAAATAAAAATAAAATCCTGCATCACAATTTCCTTATGCTGATATTTGTGTTTTCTTTTAGTTTTCTTTTTACTTCCTTGCTAGCTTTGTCTTACAAATGCTGGCTTGCTTTCATTTTAGTGACCTTCAATTTGTTGTGATCTCATTCATGATCTACTTTTGTTTTGTGCTGTGTGCTTAAGTTAATGTCTTGAGTGACTTGAAAAGTTTAGAGTGGAAGATAGTATCCTTGTGGTTTTCATTGGTTCTTCGTAATAGTTGTCCTTAGATAATGTGGTTGATCATATATAGAATTACCATTTGGACATGGTTCTATAGCAAGGTCACCATCACATTTATTTGATGGGATCTAGGCAAATTGTAGGCAATTGAAGGAGAGGTTCACAATGTGTCAAAAACAGAATTTTGCTTGGTATTGAAATTTTGCGTGGCTTGAACAACATCAAGAAACCCTTAGAGAGGAAATAAAGTCTCACTATTTTTTTTTTTTTAATGCTATTTTGAACGTAATTCAAGGATTTCAGTATGAATTTAATTGTAATCCATTTGTGCATTCTTTTAATGGTTCATTTCCACTGGATGCAGGGGACCATAAACATTACCTCAACTTATGACAGCAGAACTCACAACATTGAGGGTTCTTTGGTTGCAAGGGGAGATTTATGGAGAGTAGAGGCATCACATGGAAGCTCCACATCAAGAAATGATAATTCATCTATGTTCCTTGTCCAGCTTGGACCTCTGTTGATTGTGCGTGATTCAACCTTTCTTCTGCCTGTGCATCTTTCAAAGCAACACTTGCTTTGGTATGGGTATGATAGGAAGGTATGCCCAATTTTCTGTTTATTTAATTGAAGTGTGAAAATAGACATCATGGAAGTGTTACAATATTCTCCCTAGCTTTTGGATATTCTTTGGTAAACCTCATCTATACAGCAAGCTTATGTGCTCTTAACCTTTAGATTTCACCTGAAGCTTGACAAGAAATGGGCATGGGCTGTAGACAAGTGAACTTATGTATTCACTAAATGTTTCTTGCTTGCTCAATCCCAGCTGTTATACTGATTTCCAGCTATTCCTATTAATTGCGTTTTGTTCCCTATGTATTTTTGTTAGCTTTATGGTAACTGTTTTTCTATATTTGTTTTTTGTGACATTGGTTGATTTTTGGTGCATATGCTGATATCCCATCTTCCTAGTCTTTATCTTCTAGCTTCCATATCTTAAGGTCGTCTGTTCTTGATCATGGTTTCCTGCCTTTATTTGACGTGTCATTTTTTTTTTGTTATTTTGATATAGAACATTTCATTGAGAATCGTTTTTCCCTTGTACTATTTTAGATTTTGCATTTGGATATCTCTTTATTATTGCTTTATTAATCTGTTCTTCTAATGCACTATTTTTCTTGTATTTTTGTCAGACTGGAATGCATTCACTGTGTCCAGCTGTGTGGTCAAAGCATAGAAGGTGGTTGTTAATGTCAATGCTCTGTCTCAATCCTTTAGCTTGTGTAAGTTGTAGCTCCTTCTAAGCTATGAAAGGCATCAGAATCAGTCTATGTTTCATATTTGTATCTAGAGGCTTAAGTGTGGGCAGCCAAAAGCAATAGGCTGTATTCTACATATTGTGGATTCAATGAAGAAGGGGAAACAGTAAGCATGATGCTTTGGCTTTGAGGCATCTGGCAACTTTTGTGGGATAGGATAATGTTCCTAGCCTCTTAATATTACAAGGCTTTAAGGAATTTTAGAAGTTATTTGCTGGTATTCAACAGAATTATAAGTTATCTTGTTTCTGGTTCTTTCTATTGAATGTCTCTTCTACAAATCTTCCCATTCTAATAAAGTTTCTTCTTTCATCTTTCCCAAAAAGAACATTTTTATCAGTGGACAAAGTTTCGTAGTTGGAAAAATTTGTAGCCTTTTCATTTGTCTTGAGATTCAACTAGCATCATGCCATTTCCCCTTCTCCATATGAAGCAAAAATTTCTTAGGAAGGGGAAGTGGAGCAAAGCAGGGATGTGAATGGAACTTAACTCTCTATTAAACTAGGCTGAATCCCAAATTCAGATTTTAGTTTTTGGTGGGGGGCAGGATAGCTTGTGGAAATTATTTTCAAAAGGGAAAACTAAGAATATCAGAGCAGCCTTGCAATCCTTCCTCCTTCTGTCCTCAAGCAGAAACCTTTCCCAAAAGTGTTATACATGGCTTTGCGATTGCCTGGTGATCCAGTTGAGTGCGGAAGCAATAACCTCTGTAATGAAAGCATGAAGATGCAGTCAATATGTCTTTTTGTTGCATTAAATCTTTAAAATTTGTGGAGCTGATTTCTCATGGACCTTTCTTCTTGTCTTCCTTCTCCTTGTTTCTTTCATCATGCAGTCTTTTGTAGATTTACAGTTCCCAAATGGGCAATTGACCTATGTATCTGGTGAAGGACTGTCTACCAGTGCTATTGTACCTCTTTGCGGAGGTCTTCTCCAAGCTCAGGGGCAATATCCTGGGGAAATGAGATTCAGCTTCTCTCGTAAGGTCAGGTTTTGAACTTGTCAGCGAGTACTTGATGATTTCAGGATATACCAGTGGATTTTTCTGCATTAATTTTGGTGGGGACTAAAGCCTGTTGTTTTGAATAATTTATCAGAATAAGTGGGGAACACGCATCACACCGATGGTACAATGGCCTGACAAATCGTTTACATTGGGTTTTGCACATTCTTTAGCATGGCAGAGATCTGGTCTTATGGTGAGGCCAGCTGTTCAGTTCAGGTAACTTTTAATGTTCATATTTGTTTAATAAAATTATGATTACTCTTTGTTTTGCCATACATGTGAAGATACAAGCAGGGTAGCTGCCTTATTATTGACCCTGGCCTTTTAATTTTGAATTGCTTCAGTAACTGTGAAAACAAACATGGTTTCTGAGGCCGATCCTGCTATTTATATTGTTAGCTTTTGCATTGCAGGTTATCCTGCAGTTCCTTTCGTAGCTTGGTATGGTTTATATGTAATTCTGGACCAATCTACAGAAACCAGTGAACTCAAAGAACTAACCATAAATAAGGAAAAAAAAAGGAGAAATACAAGAATAGGAAAACAGAAATAATAAAAACCTGAATGACCTGCATTGGTGACTTGCTGAAGCAACAGTGGTGAACCTAAAAAAAGGTGTCCTCTGTGTTTATGACTGCCAGTTTGAGCCCTCATTATGCCTGAAGATCTGAATGATAGCATATCTGGTGCATTTGGTAATTTTGATGCTGTGTTACATGTAAACTGCACACCAGTTTCCCTCAAAACTAATAGATAATTTCATCGAGAGATAACTGAACACTGTTTTCATCCAAAAATAGTAAACTGAAGCCAGAAAGAAGTAGAAAATGTTTCTTCAGAGCTAACCCCGGTTGCTTGTTCTGTAACATTCATTTAACATGCTGCATTAGACTCTGACAGTGCAACTATTATTTTTCTGCTTCTTATAAAGTCGCATCAGAAGAATTTGGTCAACAGGAAAAAGTTACACATTTCGTGAGTACTTGGTTAAACAATCACAAACCAGGGCCAGTCTGCATTTCTTGATGGTGCCAAACAAATGTTGGACCTGGGTTTTTTTTTTTTTTATGACCAATCTTTGTTGTTTTAATCAGCATTTCTCCACCATAAACAATTAAGTGTCCATGTGAAGACATGATTGTTTTATCGGGTCATGACCACTGGGTTTAGTTAACTTGGTGATATTCCCTAGACCTGATGGTACCCTGATATCAATTATCTCATGCTCACAAATGGTTTGACTTTTGGAAAAGGCATGAATACTGGTAAAACAAAATAGGTCTTGTTGAGGGCAAAATACACTTGCCAGTTATCATTCAAATACATGGTCCTATGTTTGCAGAACCTGTTTTCCCTTCCTTCACTTTTGTACTTTCACTTCACACTTGTTTTGTATCTTTAAATCGAGCAAATTTATTCATCATCAATGGTACTGTAAGTAAATATAATTACCTTTTCTTCTCTTAATGATATCTTGTCAGTTTGTGCCCCACTTTTGGTGGAAGCAATCCTGGTTTGCATGCAGAACTGATTCACTCAGTGAATGACCATCTGAATCTGATATGTGGCTGTGCTGCAACGATGCACCCTTCTGCATTTGCATCACTATCGGTAAGCTGTGATGTTCCATTATCTGCTGTTGATCCATATCTTTTTATCTGGATTATACATCTCTGCTTGGTAGAATCTTTGGTTTCTTGGTCCATCCTTTTCTTTTTTACTTGACAGAATGGGACCCAGGTACATGGGAAGTTTGCACCTAGCTGTTCTTGAAAATCAAATAAATGGTAGGATAACAAATCCCAAAATATAGATAACAATGGAAAGCACTGGGAATTATCTTCATTGAGACTGAAAGAATCTAAGGAAACGCTGGTTAATCTCATGCACCCTTCATGCCATTGGAAATATGCTGTTCCCTTCCAACCCGATAATCCACATTAAAATGAAGGGATACAGTTTACGAGTCCAACTGTTATCAAAGAGTTGACTGGTTAGAATGTTAGAATTCCCTGTAAGAGCAATGAACTAAAAGACAAACCATCAATTCACCATCCTGTTTGCTGGTTGTATCTGGAACACCTGATTGTGAAAATATTAATCTTCCCATATTTGGCAGTCCTTTGTCATAATCCTCTGGAGTGAACCCGTGCACAAACTAAAAAAATAAAATAAAATGAAGAAGCTATTTTCAATTGGTTACTTGAGTGCAAAAATGCAAAACCATTTTCATCAGAAACAAATCACCACCTTTTCTTTGAATGCTTTTAAGTACCTTTAGTTTTTCCCAAACCTAAATAATCATCCTCTTATTTTCCTGTTTATTTGGAAAGTACAGAATCTTCTACATTTATCTACTATTCAATCTCCTTCGCAATCCATAACACCCCAAGCTTTCTCTGATTTCAAATAGCAATATTTGAGTATTATACTCTGGATCTAATTGCCCCATATCTTTTGGTTGCCAATTTGCATCTGCGAAACAACTCTGGAACATAATAGAAAGAGAGCACAAATCTCCACCAACAGAATTCAAGAAAAAAAAAGAAGACAATGGATGCCTTAATGAGGAGGAGATCTTGTTCTGATTTTTGTCCTATCATCATCTTTCACCATGTTTCGCTGTGGAGCTATGCTGTGTTGTTAGAAGCATGCATTTGCTGGACAAAATAGTTGTAAACACACTCTGTTTTTGGATTGCATGTCTCATTATCATTCACATCTATGCCATATGCTCCTCATACTGGGATTCTATTCATTGCCTACAGTCTTGCTATGCATGGCTTTGGACCCTTGCATTGTGGAATCAACTATGATCTTGAAGTTTTGTTTCTTTCTTCTTCTTTCTTCTTTCTTCTAGTTTTTTTTCATTACATCATCATAATAATTAATGGAGTTCTATTAGATGCTACCTTCCCTAAGATGCTTCTTGGTCCTTAAAATGCATATCTTTTTCTGTATTGAAAGTTCAGGTTGATATTTGCAGTTTCCCCCCGAAGCTATTAAACACTTCTTACCTTCGGAAGGCAATCAATCTGAAGTCATCTATTAAGTGAGACTTTCAGGTTGACATGTAATATTTTGAAATATTTGGGCACAGGTTGACACGAGAGTGAAAGTTCAGGAAATATCTATGAAATCCCACAAGTCAAACTGTAATTTGATATAATCAGGAGGCCATTAATATGGGGAATCTTCTCCTACCTGTTAAAATGTCTTGTATTCAGACTACTTTATGAAAGCAACAATTGAATATGAAAATATGAATTTCTTTTGTGACAACAATAAAACTTTTTTAACAGATGCTGAGTGCATAGATTTAACTGTGTCTCATCAGCACTTATTAGTTGCACTACATCTAGATGGAAGGGCTAAATTCTAGTGAGTAGGTTCTAACAACTGATGTGCAGCAATTAATATGGTTGTGAAACCAGACAATAACTGAACTTTTACTTCAATTTTCAATTAAATGGTTTGTTTTTTTGTTTAATATCATTTTGTCATGGTAATGTTTAATGGATCATTGATCCTGACATTTAGACGTTGATGATTGCAGGTAATTGATCCTGACATTTAGACGTTGATGATTGCGGGTAAATATCGAACTGCGGGTGTTATTTATTCATCATTGTCTAACATCCCTTCCTTTTTTGTTTCCTATTGCAGATTGGCAGGTCTAAGTGGAATGGTAATGTGGGGAGCTCAGGACTGGCTGTGAGACTCGATACTCCTCTCTCTAATGTTGGCCAACCTTCCTTTTCTGTTCAGATAAATAGCGGTGTTGAGTTTTGATTGATTTCCCCCGCATATCATGTTAGTTGAATTGTAAATAGCCACCATGCTTTTAACCATATGATACCTACCCCACATGTGTATACCTGACTGTTTTTGCATCAACCATACTTTTCCCATCTTCCCTCTCATTTTGGCATGTAGTTTTGTTTTCCCACTTGTGTATACCTGACTGTTTTTGCATCAATCATACGTTTCCCTTCTTCCCTCCCATGTTGGCATGTAGTTTTGTTTTCTGAAATAGAAAGGAGGGTGACATTATATAGATTTTGATTCGATTCTGCTATAAATTGACCTTTTCAGCTCCAGATAATGTCCAAGTTCCTTCAAACTAGTTAAAAATTATCAAGATAATGATAGGGTTTTCCTTTTCCTTTTGGATTTTCGATTTCATTTATTTACTGAAATCAAGAAGAGTGATTGAAAGTTAATTATCCTTTGAGTGGCCACGACTTGGCGCGAAGAGGATTTGTTTTCGGATGATGATAAGCCAGAGAAAAAAGAAAAAGAACAAGAAAGAAACGACCAGAAGAAGTATTTACGTGGTGAAGAACGGTTTGTCTACGAACCACACCCCAAAATTATGTAAATATAATTTTAGATTTTGATGTTAAATTTGTAATATCTTTATTCTCATAACCAGGTTATTCCTCTATTTTTTTTTTTTATGTTTTAAAATATAAAAATTTAAATAATAATAATAATAATAATAATAAGAATAAGAATAGTATTTTGACAAAATTAGGCTAGGGAGGATTTCAAATATAGAGGGTTTCAAGTTGTAATTTTGAATGAATTGAGAATTTACTTGTACTTTATTGTATCTAAAATTACAAAAATGTATGTTTAAAATGCATTAAAGTTAAATTAAATTATTATTAAATAAATTCACATAAAAATTAAATGTAAGGACATAATTAGATTTTTAATAAGCTAATTTAATTTAATTATGGGTTAAATTAAAAGTTTAATTATATTTAAAAATTAATTTGGGTTAAATTAAATGATTTAATTCAATGTAAGGATCTAATTATACTTTAAATAAATTAAATTAATTTTATTAGAAATTTAATTAGTGAACAATTAAGTTAAGTTTGAGAGTCTAATTTGAATTTTATTGGAAAAATTAGAATTTTAAAAGGATCATATTTAATTTTTATAAAGTCAATTGGTTTAAATCAATTGTAAAATTGTAAGAAAATGAGAAGTTTAAGATCAATTAGTGGTTAAATTGAAGAAATTCACAATAAAAAATCTTTTTAAAAGAAGCATTGAACTTTAGAGATTTAATTGGTTGAAATTAGAAGTGAAATTGAATAAAATTAAAAATTTAATAGTCAATTAGAGATGAAATTAAAGAAATCTACAATCTAGAACCTTTTTAAAAGAGACAACAAACTCTAGGGGTTTAATTGGCTGAAATCAATAGAGAAATTAAAAAGAATTAAAAGTTTAATGGTCAATTAGATGCTAAATTAAAAAAACTTAAAATCAAGGATTAAATTAAAAAAGGCATTGAAATTTGAAGTTGATATTAAAATTTGATAAAGATGAAATTGTATAAAATTAAAAGTTTCAAATCAATTAGATAATTAAAATAATTAATAGCTAAAAAACTAAATTGAACTTTAACTAAATTCTTAAATTAAAACTCTAAAGTCAAAATAACATCATTTTGAAGATAAAAAATAGACAAACCAACAACATATAGTCTGATTACTGTTCATCACTCCATACTTTTTATTAGAAAAAGTTGCACAGTAACTACTTTTTAAAAACATTCAATATTTCTTTTCCTATTAAATTAGATAAACTATGCATCATTATGATCACCTGATATTATATTACACTCTAAAATAGATCTCGTCAACTAACTATATTTACAACTATAATTATCATAACATCATTTTAAAAATATTTTAAAAATACCAATTCAGTAGCCTCTAGTTACCAACTTTTTAGGGCCATAATGACAACTTTGAACTAAAAATTAATTGAGATTCTTTTAATTTAAATCAAAGGCTAAGATTAGTTCCAAGAGACAAAGTGTTTCTTTTCTACCATTATAAATAAAGATGGATTTCCAGTACTGGGCATTAAGAAATCTAAGGTCAAAATTGAGAAAAATCAGCCTCTCTCCGTAGCTTTATCAACCAGTCTTTCATCCTTCTTTACGCTACTATAACTGCCAATTTCTCTGCCAGTTTGTGCTCACCACCACCACCGTGTATAGCTAGCATGCAACCCATGTACTATATAATTTTTTTCCTGCTATAACCTACACCCATTCCCCTATTTTCCCCCCTCTAAATGAGGCATATAGGATGTGAATGATTACATCTTGCTGCCTCTAATCTCTTTCAATTAAGGAAGAGATAGGTTGAATCTGTTTTGACACAAGCTAAGAAAAAAATAAAAAAGGAGAGAAGGTTGTTGGGTTGCCAGTCTACCCAACCTCATTTACTAATAGTTTTAGTTTTGATGTTAAAATCTCTACTGATAATTTCAGATTAATAAATCTAAAAAATTCTAGAATAATATTCGTTCAAAATCTAAAAAAAAAAAGGAGAGAAAATTGTTGGGCGGCCAATCAACCAATCTAATTTACTAACTGCTTTTGCTTTGATGTTAAAATTTCTGGTAATTTCAGATTAATAAATCTAAAAATTCAAGAATAATATTCGTTCCACTTGCTTGCTCATAATTTTCCGAAATCTAAAACCCATTATGGTGTCCAAGTTTAACTTCCACTGTAGTTAAACCTATACAGAAATTAGCTGTGATTGTCAATGACACGGGAATTATGTCAGTTCTTCGGTCCAAGTTACCCGTATCCACCTACCACGAAAAGCAGTAACTACAGGGAACGCATTTATTCTCCATTTGGAGAAGCATTGTATCCATGGACAAATCTTTGTTTTAGATCATTAAAAAGGTAGCCTGATAAGTTTTCTGAAAATGTGTATTTCTAGGCATCGCTACCATGGGAAAAATGCTGCTGAAGCAGGTATGGTTCTTGCAACTTATCCCATGGGACCACAGCTCCTATAAGAAGGGATGGAAAAAGGTTATTCATCCACTACATGTTGTCTTACTGCCTTTCATTCGTGTCTCCTCTTCTCTTCCCCTTTTCTTTTGCTGTCACTTTTATCCTCTTTAATTTTGTATGAAGCCATGGAATACAACAGTAGGAAGTGGAGGAGAGGTTAAGCATTTCCTTGTTCATTCTTGCAACTTCGATAAGAATCTAATGGTGTATTCTCTCTCATTTTTTTTCCCATTTATGCAGGGCATGTACAAGACAACAGTGAGAGATCTTTGAGACGGAGGAGTTGGATTTGTAAGGATGTGAAATGTATAGTTATTGCATGCTTGGACCGGAAATGGCTTCAACATTTTGAACTATGTGCTTCCCAACATTTAACAGCTTTTCGGACACAATATCTGAAATTTTAAAGAACATGCAATGTATTTCTTTTGGTGAACAAGAGCATTCGTCGACTATTCTTGCGTTTGAACGTGACATTTGAAGCAGCGTACTTGTTTTGACCAAAAAATTAGAATGATTTTTATAGTGTTTGCAAGTCTTAAATTCTAGATGGCGCTGATCAAAGGCAATCAGAAAAGACAGCTGTTTTGCCAAATAAAATGTCTTTTACTCGCCCTTTGAAGAAAGCAGGAAAAAAGGTCTTGACAGAGAAGTTCTTATCAGATTGGTTAGATTAATCTTCAACTTATGCACGGTTTGAAATGGGGAAAAATGATGGAATATGACTGCAATACTTATTCAGATCCTTATGCAAGTTTTATTTATATTATTACATTGCCATGGTTATGCCATCGGTAAAGGTGATTCAGCAAAGATGCTGAATGCTGAGCCCAACCTGAACTTATTCCTTGCGTTTGTTACCATCCTCCTATTCAAAGTTGACAGACTTAATCTCAATTCTTGGTTGCTTTAGTACCAGGAAATGAAGTTTGACAGAGTCGCTTTTTAGTATACGGAATGTTAGGCCTTCCTCTTGGGATAATTATTGGTCTACAAAAGACAAAATCAAACATCATCTCTGTCAGAAACAGGATGAAACTAATCCATACAAAAATGGTTCTCTTCCATAGCCAGATAAGCCTTTTCAATTGAGGAAGTTCAGATTCCAGGAGAGTGAAGCTGCGTAAATTTCAGGGATGCCAGCACCGGCTTTGTATTCTGCTCGATGTTCTAACATCACCTTCATGAAGGCAGTTGGCTCAAGTCCTCCTGTGAATTCGTCCATTTTTATGTTCAGAATCTGAGATTCTGATGCAAAACCAGCAATGACTGGAGCACTCTTAATGATGGTTTCGACTACACGGATGGGTTGGCTTTTGTACCGCAATATCCATGGCTGACTTGAACTTGCAGTGACTTTACCCTATGCTGACAGGAACCCAACCCTCACCTGAATGAATGTAGGAGAACAAAGTGTCATGTACTGCTCCAATTGAGTTTTGAAAACATAAACTAGTTAGAAATTCAGTTTCTATTCACACTCAACTAAAACGAAACGCTTACTCAATGTTTTAAAATAAAAAATAAAATATAAAAAATATTATTTGAAATAATGAATATTGACAAATCTAAAATACACTTAAATAAATATAAAAGATAATAAAATAATAAAATATTATATTATTAATAAAATCAAAAGACACACATATTTACAAAGTATAAAATTATTAAAGAAAAATATAAATTATATATTAAAACTTCATTTAATATTTTAAACTTTTAAATTGAGATAATTTTTAATATAATAAAAAAATTTAATAATGAAATAGTTGATTATATCTAATTAAATTTATAAAATTAAATGTAAGATACCAGTAGAATTTTACAAGTTCTAACCTTAAAAAGTTTTTATTTAAAGATTTATTAGAAAATAATATAAATTTTTTATTAAGATTTCACCCAACAAATGATTATTTGAAATAGCAACATAAGCTTTATTAATTAAATATAATTATGAGTTTGAGTTTTACGTATTCAGTCTTTGCACGATGCAGTGAATCATTCGAGACAAAGAAAGTAGTTTCAGGAGACAGAATGGATGCTTTGCTAATATTCGGAATGCTAAAAAAAGGAGCGGCAGCTTGTGATTACGAGGAATAATGAGGCCCGACTTGCTTCCCGGCTTCTGCGTTGTCTTTAGCTGCTAGGCTAGAAAGATCAACCACTACAGAAAAAGGCATTATGGGCACGAAAGCTACGGGAGTAGTCTTTGTGTAATCGAAATTCAGGGTTTCTGTTGTCTGGACAGGCTTC